GCGGGCGGCTGCCGCGCTCGCTCCCTCCCTCCCTCCTTCCTGCCTTCCCTCCCTCCCGCCCTCCCTCCCGCCGCAGCTCCCGGCGCCGCCGCGCTCCTCCTCGGCCCCCCCGGCCGCCGGGGGCAGCTCCCCCTTCCCCCCCCGCCGCCCGGCAACATGTCGGTGCTGGCGGCGGGGCCGGGCCCGAGGGGAGGGGAGGGGAGGGGAGGGGAGGGGGGACGGGACGGGACGGGAACCCCCCCACTCCCCCCCCGCCGGCAGCTCCGCCGTGCGGGGCCTGCGGCGGCCGCTGCCCCCAGCGCAGCCCGAGGGGCACAAATGGGCAGGGAATAGGGGGAAAAGCCCTTGGCGCGTGTCCCCCCCCCGGCACCAAGGGCCCTGTAGCGGCGGGTGCCGCGTCCCGGAGCAGCCGAGCGCGTCCCCGGCAGCGGGGTCTGTGCCGGCGAGCGGGGGACCCGCCGAGCGCGCCGCTCCAGTGTCAATATTTACAGGGTATTAGTGACTTTTTAAAAAACATTCTCGGTGAGGTCTGTTATTTACAATGTGTCATAAGTTATTAATGTGCCTTGCCTAAGTACCCTGCTAAATCTGTCTCATGCCTCAGAACAAAGTCGACAATTGGCATATTGTTTAAAGTATGAAAAAAATGCGAGTGGGCTTAAAAATTGGAAATATCTGTATTTCCAGAAGTGTAAATATTGCCTCGTAGCTGTCAAACGGCAGCCCCTGCCGAGGATGAGGCACAGAGGTGCGTTGGGGGCTATTTCTGCACCTCGCGGAGCTGCCATGAGTTGGGAAGCRCCCCCAGAACTTGGGGGAACGGGGGCGAGGGTCCCGCACGTGGCACTAACCTGCCTCTCTCCCCTGCGTGCCCGAAGCCGCCCACCATGTCCAGCGACAGGCAGAGGTCGGACGACGAGAGCCCGAGCACCAGCAGTGGTAGCTCGGATGCCGATCAGAGGGATCCTCCAGCACCTGAACCTGAAGAGCAGGAAGAACGGAAACCTTCTGCGACCCAGCAGAAGAAAAACACCAAACTCTCCAGCAAAACTACTGCTAAGCTATCTACTAGTGCRAAAAGGTAAAAGTGAGAATAAGGATTTTCACAGTATTTACAGTGGCACTCTTCTGTGCAGCTGGATTCTTGTAAAGCCCTTTGAGAAAGCAAAGTACAAACATCTTAAATGCAGGTGTCTGTTAGGCATTACTGGGGTAACAGTTAAGCAAACTTGTATTTCTTTTGAGGAGTTGCTTAAGGACTTGGTAACTTGCTGGACGTATGGTTTTTTTTTTTTTTTTTTTTTTTTTTTTTTTTTTTTTTTTTTTTTTTTTTTTTTTTGCTTTTTTGTCTTTGCAGGGATGTGTGAGGGAGCGGGTGTGTGAGCCTCAGGTGTCTTTCACAGAATTGGTTCTCCCACCCGCATTGCTATAGGGCAGTGTCGTAGGGTGTATTAGCAGCATATAGACTAATGTCATGAAGCACACTTTAATTAAAGAAATCACCCCCACACACAATTGGGATTTGCGGGCCCAGTGTCTAGCTTTTCTCGTCAACCTGCAGCACAGCCTCACATACCTGAAACAAAGTTTCTGCAGTTTGGCTGGAAGAAGTTTAAGCGTGTCCTTTGCTTTGGGACACATAGGTGGGTTCTGTCGTGGGCTCTGCAGTGAGCCGGGAAGCTTCCTTGGTCACAGGGCGTGTTTTGACTTCTGTGTAAGTTTCTGGTAGTGCTGCTCTCAAGAAAAGGACCCTTTCCTGCAGGTCCAGCTGGGTGAAACAAACGAGCTTTAAATCCCTTCATTCCCGTGGCTCTTTGAGATGAAATGCAACTTTCCAGTCTTTTCCCCAGAGTTCCTTCTCTTTACAAGTATTAAGTTTAACCTGTAGCAAGAAGCGCTGTAGRTTATCCATAAGAATGCATAGGAGCTCTTTACTAAGCATCTTCAGGTTTTGCTTATTCAGCATGAATACTGTATTTCAGATTTTTAGGAGCATTTTTGGAATTTTATATTGGACTTAATTCAGTAAATACTTTTTGAAATATACATTAATATTGCTGCAGAATATGGGTGGCTTTGACAGCTGTGTTTTTTAAAAAACACTTTGAAGTGGGACTGGCTAAAGAAGGAAGAGTTTTGGAAACACTGTGAAGATTTTATAATTTATTATTCCTTGTCTGTTCCTGAAAAGCCCACAATACCTTGTGTAGAAACCCAAGACTGAGTTTTCCTGTCTTGCCTGGATTTTGCTTAGTTGTGTGTCTAATTCCATAGATCTCAAATAGTTGAGTGGTCTGATTGAACTCAGTGTGACTAGCGTAAGGGCTTTGGGATCAGCTTCAATTAGTTCATATTTTAATGCTTCCTATTTAAAGGAAAGAACGGTCTTGCTTTTATGCTCCTCTTTGGGACAAAATTCTTATTTGATATTTTTAAGAGGAATTTACCGTGCATCTTTTAACATCTTAACCTCTTGTCTATCTGAAGAAACTATTAAACAGACACAAACTTTTCAGAATTCCTCTTTGGACCTTAGCACCTCGGGAGGGGCTGCTGTGGGGCAGAGCCAAGCCAGCTCACCGGTGACCTCAGGGCTGTGGGCTCCAGGGCAGCACAGGGTGTGCAGAGAAGCCAGCTTGATGCACAGAGGTTATCCCAGTACTGGAGCAGCCTGGCAGGGCTGCCAGCTCCGTGTGAACCGCTGCAGAGTGGCCGGGCAGAGCCCCTGCACGGGAGGTGTCTGCTCGGCCGCRGCCTCGGCTCCCTCGGCTCTTTGGAGCCGCGTTGAATATTCCCGAGCAGCCTCCCCCCCTCATTTGCATATTAGCTTGAAAAGCAAATCTCTCCGCTAAGGAGCGCTTGGATATGAAAATAGGTGCTTTTCTGAATTCTTGGGGGAAATCCCTGTCAAACGGCGTGGCAAGCGGTCTGTTTATTTACAGCGTGGGGCAGGAAAAAAGCAGCAAAGTTTCTCTGCTTTGGGATTTGGGTTATGCCTCTGAGAACAAAGAGGAAGCAGCCATGTTAGCATTACTGAAGGCAAAGCCAATCTTGCATTTAACTGCATGGTGGTAGAGGGCAGTGTAATTCCCTGATTTATTCTATAGACTATCTCACATGCTTTGTGTCTGTTCTCATTTCACCAACAGAATCCAGAAGGAGCTAGCTGAAATAACCCTCGATCCTCCCCCTAACTGCAGGTATGTGGCAACTTCTTAAATTGCACACGGGCTGGGAGGTGAATGTGCTCGGGCTAACAGCCGGGGAGGCTCTGCACTGGTTACAACCGGTGGCTTTAGGAAACTGCGTGCTGCAAAACRCGAGCGGGTCGGGAGCGGTGGGTGCTGAAGTTTGATATGTTGTTGTCTGCGTGCTGGAGGGGCAGTCTTTAGGAGCTGGCATATATAGTAAGGTGTCTTGCTGCTTGTTTTCCTGCAACTGAGCACCRTATTTGTGAAACATTAATATCCATTTCATCATGTGCTGAAGCTTAGTGCCTGCTTGCAGTCTGAACTGTTTTTTGAGTGCCAGGTTTAGAGTTACTGCTTTATGCTGAAATTAGGCAAGGAATTGTGATTTTTGCATGCTTTCTCCTAGGATATGTTGCTTAATAGTTAGAAAAGGTGAAGCATTACCTTTGAGATTTGTGCCTCTCATTCAGTGTTGTAGAAGTCTCTCGATAAAGGATATTTTTAAGGAAGTTCCTCAATGGAGAGATGCTATTTTTTTCCCTCTAAAAAACAAAAAAACACAGTTTTAAGATTGAAAAATTACGTGATTTAGCCTTAAAGTGAAGGAAACTGGAGCACTTGATCAATGGGAAAAAATAGTAATATAGCTAATTTATTTAACTATTTTAAGTGTTTCACTTTTGTTTAAAGGATGCATAAAAATTCTCATTAGCTCTGAGCATCCACTGTCAAATGTGCCGTAAAACTACATTTAAATAACGCAGCTTTCCTTTGGTGCATTCCAGCACGATCTGACTGCGAGGTGTCTTCAGTTTCGTAGCGCCAGTGCTTGAGGCAGAGCTGTGCACATGTGAAGAAGGGCTGGAAGTGCTTTCTGGTTCTATGTTGGAGCTGCTTGCCTTGCTGCAAGCAGGGGTGCAGGGCTGGGTGCAGGTGTCCTGTGAATTCAGCACGGCGGGAGCTGCTCTGCCCCCTGCACACGCGCGGGGCCGGACCGGGGCTGTTCCCGGGGCAGTCTGCGGTGAAGGTGCCGCCCGCCCGGTGCTCAGGACCGGCGGTCTCATGGATTTGGGTGCAGGGTTGGTGCTTCCTCCTTTTTAGCAGGGGAAGCTCTGCAGGGAGAGCTGGTGTCTCTTAAAAAGTCATATTACTTGCAGGCTGCAGCTCTTCGTTGTATGTGTGGCTCTTCAGTCTGTCATGCACTTTATGCTTGGGCTCCCAAATGGGACATGATAGGAGAGAAAGCATTTAAGGGAAATAAAACACTTTGCTGCAATACTACTTTTAGGAAGTGTAAGGCAGTTTTGTGCACAGTAAGTGGCAGCTTGGCTTTCAGAAAGAGAAGCCTCTTCCTGCTCCGATACCATCTGATACTGAGCTGCTTGGAAAACAGGCCTCTGCACTGTCGGCACCAGAGCGGTGCCAAGGGCTCTTCCTGGGAGCAGGGACTACCAGGTGCCCAGAAACGCTGTTGAGGGGGTTGTACCCCTCCACAGCACCAGTGCATTTAAGATAATTTGGGTTTCTCTTCTGCATAGCATAGGGGAAGAGATTATTTTTTGCCAGTGAGGAAGTCTTTGCCTCTGTTGCCATGAGTATTTTTAAAGAGGAATTAAACCCTTTATCTCACTAATGCATGGTGAATGTACTTCTCCCTCCTGCAAAAATCAAAAGTATTTGCAAGAGACCACGGCTTCTTTAACAGCAGCTTTTCTGGGTTTTCRGCATGAACTGTTTGGGCAGGATTGCACTGCCTGAGGGATTACCATTACCCTGCAATGGACATTTTTTAGAAGGGGCCTTTCTGTGCAGGGAGGTAAATGCAGCTGTTTCACGCGGAGCAGGCGAGGGCAAGGACACGTCATGCACCTCCTTGCAGGCGGCAGAAGCCACGATGAGGCAACCAACGGTGCGGGCATAGGACTCTCCCACTTCATTGCCTCATCATGCAAGGAGCTGCAGAGCACCTCTCACCATTTTGTAATGTAGAAATAATAAGTCTGTAGTACATGRGTACATAGTGATAACGCCCCTGTCATAAGCTGTGCACTAGGTTTCTTCAGGTCGCGCTCCTGGCTGCTCCCCATTCTGGAGCACAGCCTTGTCCCTTGTGATCCGCATGTTGCCGGATTGGAGCTATTGCCAGAGTGCAACTAGCAACTGATGCTCCTGGACACTGAGTCATTCTGGTTACCTAGTTACAGAGGGATAAAATTAAGGATTTTTTAATATGATAAAGGCACATGCAAAATCATAAGTGTTCTTTTAGGTACGAATGCTGAACCACGTATCGAGCTCTCCTGTGTTGTATTAAACACTTTGATGGCTACTGCCCCTTCTCATCTGCCAGGATAACTGTACACAGAGTTGCTCTCTAATCCAATTCTGTCAAAATGATCTAAAGTTGATTTAGCTGCTTAAAARGTGACACCAACTGTTGCAGTGTAATTCACACGCAAGAGCTATGTAGGTTTCTGCAGCAGTTAGATTTCCCACAGTCACATCTATTACTGTAACATCTGTTTTATAGAAATGCTAGGGCCCCAGGAGATCTCCATTCTTGGGTGTGCTGAGCAAGGCTGGACGGTACATTAAGTTCTATTTTAGGCACTGGGGTAGCAGAAAGACAAACAGTAGAAATGTTTAAATCATTTTCTGCATGCTTCAACAGTAGAGGTTGGCCCTGTATTTCAGATTCTTTTCAGTTGGCTGGACAGTGTCCTACTAGACAAATCATGTTGTCATGTCAGTGTGCAAATACAGATTACATCCTTGGGGGTACCAAGTGCAGAAGTTAAATATTTAATGYGGATAGCTTCGCTGCAGCATAGGTGTATTCTAAGTTCATGTGGATTTTGGTGCAATTTCCAAGGAAGGTAGAGCACACAGTATTAGACTTGTTCTTAGGGCAYCACAGCTAATGGGGAGGAAATGAAGTGCTGCTTTGTGTCTCTGTTCTCTCCCCTCTAACACACGAGCCTGAAGCGAGCAAGGTGCTGCACAGCGAGCGCCCTAGCACTGCAGCACACGGGTAAGCTGGGCACAGGTGTCTCATCCTGCATTTCCTCGCTTTTGCTGGCTCCCATCAAAGCACTACGGTTGATGCAGTGGCTGTATTTAATTTCTTTYGTGCTTTTAATAGTATAATGGGAAGCTAGAAAAGGTCTGGGCCCTATTGCTCCTAGGCAGCTCAATTTCAAACCATGGCCAAGTGCTTATACATGCTTCRAGGTATAGAAATTTGCCAAAACCCACTGCTATGCATTCCCAGAATAATGTTCCRAGGATCTTTCATGCAAGGCATGGCAAATGCATGCTGCAGAGATTTTCTTAAATAGGTTTGACATATCTGGAATCACTGTTTTCAGTTCATAACAAAACTTTTGGAGCCGAGGTCACTGCACTGTAGCTCAGGTTATAAATGAGACTGTTGGAGCTGCACAGCTCAGACTGCAGCTCGGGTGGAGCAGGGCACAGCTGCCTCTGGCACTCAGGCATTTCCTAGATTTTAGGGTTGGTGGAAAGGGGGCCATTCCCAGGAACAGTGATTTGTAGCAGCCTCTTTCAGTTGTTCCTGGCAGCTCTGCTCATCCACAGTAACTGGAATACGCTCCCTGCCTTTCCTCCTCATTTCCATTCCAGAAACAAGCATTGTTCATCTTCAGGAGAATGTTTTTGAAGTACAACCCAATATTAATTAAATTTAGTAACACCCATACAAAACCTGTTCTTATAAATTATAATCCCATTTATAGCAAGTCCAGTTTGGTATAAGCTTTATAGGAAATGAGAGCAAATATCAAAGTCATTACATCCACAGGGATCTTAATTTGTGCCATTTGCAGAGAGATGTTTTAAAGCAGTGCTCCTTTCACACGCAGGGCCAACAGTTGAGTATTTTGATTCCTRTTTGGTCAGTTGCCTCTTATCTTTTTTGTCAAGTTAAAAATAGTAATAAAAACAGACATCTGACAGCAAGKGGTTTAAAAAGCAAGACAAAAGCGCGTTCCTCAGCTGCCCTCTGAGGCAGCCTTCCTCTTCCTCCTCCTGCAAGTGGGAGTTCCTACAAGGACAGGGATTCCTGGGTCACGGCAAACGCTTCCTGCTCTGTCACACCTTCTAGCCTGTGAGCACCTGGACCCAGGTCTGTTGGGAAGATTTTTTCAGATTAATTTCATGCCTTCACTGCTAATAGTAACTAAAGTGATGTCTTGAGCAATACTACAAAAGGCAGCAGCTGCTTTTGCTATTTGTATCCTTTCCTAGACTTTTAAGTAGATAATTTAGGAGTTGTTCATTTTAAATTACTTGAGGTTGTGACTAGCAGACTAAAAATTGTGTTAGTTTTTGGTTCCTGCTACGATTGCATCGTAACTCATGTTCCTAGAAAGGAACTGTTCTGCAGTGGCTTTCAGTTACATTGTGTGCATAATAAAGCTAAGTTAAAGACAATTATCAAAGACAAAATATAAGAAAGTTTTCATATAGTCCTTGTGCAGCCTATTTGGATAATACCTCACTTGTGTATTGACAYAGCATGTTTACATTAAATAACTGCATCCCTGTGAACTTATTTTATCCCATTTCTCAAAAAATAGAATCCTCTCCTCAGAATTGCTTTGGATCATATTAAGTTTGTGAAGAAACCAAACAGACCAATGTATTTTGCATTGCCCACAGCAGGCATGAGAGGTTTTAGTAGGGATTTTTGTGCTCCCACTGTACTGCACCTGTCCATTTTGTTTCTGCTGCATCTTGGGCCTGTCCTGCGCTGAAAAGCTTTGCCAGCCTCACCCGCTGCACAGGTACCTGACCCGAGCAAAAGCGCCCATGCAGCCCTGATAGAGCAGCCAGCTGCGCTGCTTCAGCTGAAGAGGGTGAAGGCAGGTGCGGGTCCCTGCCCGAGGAGGGTGAAGGCAGGTGCGGGTCCCTGCCCGAGGAGGGTGAAGGCAGGTGCGGGTCCCTGCCCGAGGAGGGTGAAGGCAGGTGTGGGTCCCTGCCCTGTCCTT